AGTGCTCGTGATAATTATACGCGCTCCGTGAGATTCCCTTGACTTTCGACTTTCTGTTGATGAGCGAGAGTCGCGACCGACAGCTGTCACTTTTGACGTTGCCCTTCATTGCGTCTCTGCGCGTGCTCTCCTGCTAATCGCTTCACGTGTTTGTACAGAATTAGCGCCCCTAAATAGAATTTTTCAGTCGAGTATATGTAAGAAAAATCCCTTGCTGATCGCCTCACGTGTTAGTACAGAATTAGCGCCTCTAAATGGAATTCGTCAGTTGAATATATGTAAGAAAAATGCCTTGCTAATAGCTTCACGTGTTAGTAAAGAATTAGCACCTCTAAATAGAATTCGTCAGTTGAATATATGTAAGAAAAATGCCTTGCTAATAGCTTCACGTGTTAGTACAGAATTAGCACCTCTAAATAGAATTTGTCAGTCGAATACTGTATATGTAAGAAAAATCCCTTGCTAATCGCCTCACGTGTTAGTAAAGAATTAGCACCCCTAAATAGAATATGTTTATCGAATATATGTAAGAAAAATCCCTTGCTAATCGCCTCGCGTGTTGTACAGAATTAACACCCTATGTAGAGGTTTTCAGCCAAATACATGTAAGCAATACGACGCTGCAATTTACTTTTTTCCCAGTTATTATTAATGCCAGTCATTTCTCTGCTGCTTTGTTCTTGTTATTTTAACCATACGGTATTTGCGATACAGTGATCTTTTCGTATGCCGAAAAATCCCTTAAAATACGTGCTGTGAATTTCAGCCGCGATGAAATTCAAATAGAATTGTATTATAGCGTCTCATCTCGCAATATCTTGGCTTGATATTTGTGCCCGCACACTCGTCATAAAAGAACGTTTTAACCTTGATTTCCAATTCAGTGAAATTATTGTGCTTTGATTCCTTGTCTTGGTGCTTCCGTGACCGACAGCCGCGACAAATTCGTGTTGAATATTAGAGAAGAGTAGATAATTCAGACGAAGTTTCTTGCTTGGGTCCCACGTCCCACTCATCTCCTGTAATTATTATCCCTATAGCGTCAAATGCTACGAGCTTTCTGCTCCTCGCGATTTCTAGGGACGAATCTCACTTTTTCGGGAATAATAATCGAAATGTGAGAAGTGATCAATTGCGCTTACGGTTCCATTATATTTCCAAGTACATGAAGAGTGAGGACGTCTTGCATTTACATTGCGGCTTAACTTGCTCTTATATTTGCAAGTTATATTTATATATTTGAGATTTTTATTAATTATTATTCATACATTTTATTATTTACATATTTGAATTTTTTTACATTATTACATTTTTTTACATTATTATATTTTATTATTATTAGCGCATTTTCTCATTTATGAAAAAATGCACTATTGTGCTCGCCATGTCCGTCTGTCCGTCCTTGACTTCATGTTTTCGTCGACGAGAAAATGCGCTCTCTGTCACTCACTGCAGTGAGTACCGAGTTATATTTTCTACATATTTGAGAGAAGTTCATGAAAGTGTTTACTATTATTAGTATGGAATTATTAATTTACTATTTTGCTCGCGTAAAATTTGTAACAACCTTTACTTGTCGGGCTTGAGTTTCAATCAAAGGTGATGAACCATCCGAAAATTTAGGTACAGTTTTTTTTAATCAAAAAAGTTTTAATTCTATCATCCATTTGTCTAAGGAAAAACTTGACAATCATCGTTTTTTTATGCTTAAACTACAAGTAAATAACAAGGTATACAAATAAATAACAAGGTAAACTATAATTCAATTCTAATCTACATTCTAATTCTTTCATTAGAATCTACATTCTAATTCTTTCATTAGAATCTACATTCTAATTCTTCATCTTCTTATTAAAAAATCTTGTAATAACACTAACCTGGACAGAAGTCACGTTGCTCTCTTGGCGGGCCCATAATTTAGCTTCAGTTTCACGTCACCACAACCTGGACATTTACCTCCTTTATCGTTGGAAATGCATGGTATAAAATGTACAGAGGTTTTTTACGCTATGATCTACTGAATGGCGATCAGGTGCCGATTTTTTCATTAGTATGTTACCGGCATCACGCGGCAGTTTAATGCATTTCTGTGGTGAGCGAAAATAGACGTGGGGAAATGGGGAACGTGCAGCTGTAGTTTAACGTCCTGCAACTTCTCTGTGTTGACACGAAGGCGCCTCCTATAAGTCGGAAGTCTGATTAGTGAAAACTTAATGTGAATTATTCGTGAGGAAGGAATTTGTTGTTTGGCCCATGGTGGGAAAATCCGAACGTGGCTCCGCTAACATGAGAAGTTTCCCAGGTCCGCTCTCCATCAACGGATGCTGTCCCTGAGCTCTCCCACTCTCTTCCTCTCTCTTGCCACTAGACTTTTTACTATTGTTCCTAATGAGACGGCATTTGAGTTTATGATAATAACATCCTTGCCTACGGTGCAAACACCATCGCAGATGTTACCGAACCAATTTCCTGTTTTTCAATTAAAGTGTCGAAGTGGTTACGACGAAGCTTTCTCGTCGTATGTAATAGTTTGTCTGTAAGAAATGTTTAACTTTTTCGTTTGATTTAACTTAGCCTGTGGTTACAATTTGTCTTTTGAGGGCCAACAACAGGTCATTATTTGAATTGATTAATTGATCAATAACAATATTGATTGCCACCTGATCATGACTTGACGCTGTTAACCACACCAGTCAATATTTCGTCGAAGCACAAAATAATGTTTGTTGGATTTGTATTAGGACGGTAAAATTTTCCTGCTATAACTTATTGCTACTCAGTTGAATAAGAGAAATTCAAACCTTTCTTGTTTTTTTCTTATTCAGGCCAGTGATTCTGAAATCATCTACTAGCCTTGCCAATTTTTCAATGAAGGCAATTACTTTCGTGCATTATTATTATAGCTGTTTTTTTCGGAATAAGTCAGATAGGAATATCTGAATGTTTTTTGCCCTCATGAGCCTCTATTAATTGCTTGAACATTTCGTTGATCATCAGATCCTTAATTTCGTGTGATAATTGGTTGTATCCTACAAAAGCTCACTGGTAAAAAAATTGACGAGATCTAAGAATGTCTGGCCTGGCACTGTAGATTAGGTCGCGGGGTTCCGACACACTTACTGGAGCATCCCCTCTTCCCCGCCACTCCTGCCCTCTGTGGGATGTGTGGGTGTATTAACATCTTCCTGTAATGCAGGGAGCGCATCCCGGCACTAGAGCCTCATTCTCAACCGCATTGCAGTGCTCAAAGTTAGGCGCATGAGCCAAGCATCGTACGTTATTTGGTAGTGACAACCGCCGCATGGCAATTTGAGACCCACGATGACCGTGTCGTTACACTCACCAACAGCTGCGTGTATCGAGAATATATTAGTGGAAAAATTCAATAAATTCAATACATGTACTATGATTTCTTTAGCGTTAACGTGGTGTGGTTTCGTTGCTGTATTTCAAAACTTCTCTTTATACCCTTAATGTTTTTCTTTATAATTGGTGGTTCACAAACGAAATTTAGTGAACCAGCCTCTCCTCTTTCACCTCAACATTTCACGCAACATTCTTAGTGCGCTTATTTGTCTGCAACTAGCACGATGTACAAAATCATTTCTAGGAGCACAGAAGAATTTCTTTGTTGTAAGAGTTTCACGAAGTAAAAATAGCGAACAGGATATCTGAGAGATATTGCGATGCTTCGCGACGTCCAAATGAGCCTCTTCTCAATTGTGCAACTCTCGAGAACATTTCGGATATTTATGATATACATAATATACCGTCAGTGTTGCGATTTTACACTGTTGAAAACAGGTTAAACTCAGCGTGTCAAATGAAGTTAATAGCTCACTTCGTCGGGTTCGCCCCCCGTTCTGGACTAGAGCTTCTGCCGCACATATGCGATCAAGCGAGCGGAGTCGCGTCTTCTACGGAGGTTCTTTCGCTGCCGCTTGAGCTTTCTTGCCGGCGCTGAGAGGTTGTCACTGTACACGTATTGCCCACTCAACACAGATGATTCCCTACCATTTCAAATCACTCCCCTCAGGGGGGACTTCTGACGCGTGTCTATGCTCGTCAGAAGTCCTATGGGATTTCGCGCTCCTAGGGGGATTGTTCCTGAGCGCCCCACCGCTGAGCTCGCGGTGTCTGACTGCAGGTCTCAGTTGTGGGGTTAAGTTATTATGTAGGTAGGATAACTTACATTTCCCTTCTCTGTCTTTCTCGTGCGGGTGGCCGACGTCCCGTGTAAGCGACCTCTTGTTCGAGTGTCTTCGTACTACCATTTCAAATGATCTACTATAGCTTTTTGATCGATAATTATAATTTCGCCCGGTAATTTAAGTCTAACTCGATGTTTTGTGTCAAATTTCCAGTGATTGTTACGGTAGCGGATTGGCCATGTTTTTTTTTTTAATGTCATGCACCTCATAGTTCGGTAGACCGTTATCATTTATTGTAACCAGTTGGTTTCAATTGAAGGTGTATTCTAGTTGGCTCATTATTATCGAGATATTGCCGAGCCAACAAAAACTTTCTCGATTTTCCCACAAAATGTGTAAGTTACCACTGAAGCTTCCGTAGAAAACGCGTCCGTATAAAGAGAATGGCCAAATTCCAGGGATAGCTACGTTAAAAAAGTGGATGCCATTGCTGCCTTTCTTGATATTGATAATAGGCTTAAAATAAAGTTTGCTGACATACGTCATGTGAGTTATTTATTGGAATTTTAATTGTTCAGGATTAAACTTGAATTCCCTGGTACTATCTCATCTTTTATAATATTTTCTCATTTACAATTTGTTAGTTGTTTATCTGTCAAACTTTTAGGTCATCTCGGGTACACACTACACACTACACCGTACAAGCACGAGAACTGATCTGATGCTGTGACTTCAGTTCAGTTTTTAGTGCAAATTCGACGGCAAAGTTCATGTTATAGATTGATTTTATATTTATTTACGAATTTTTAATTAAATTTTGTATTATATGCTTCTGTTTTTTTTTTGCAGGTATGTTCCGGAAATACTTGAACAGCGACACTAGATCAGGTATGTGTGTAATAGGTTATTGCATTGCATCTCTGCAGCGCTCCTATAGTAATCATCGATGCTTAGCCGCTACCATTTGCATGAAGTTACATTTTATTGCATTTATTATAAGTTCTTCTTCTGTTTTTCATATTATAATAAAAGTTTTTTTTTGTAGTGTAATATATTTGGTTCAGTCATGTGAGTTCATGTTCTCGGTTTTTAGTTTATGTTTATGAGCTTCGTATTCATGGCCAATGAAAGAAGTTCCAATTGCGAGGTCACTTGCTCTATGGCCTCTTCTTATACATCTCCGCCAATGGTATTCAACTTCAACTTGCTGATGAATCTGCTGTATCACTTCACTCATTTTATTCCATGGCAATAAAATAATCCATCATAAGATTTTGCGATTAACCTGCTTAATTAAATTGGAGCATCATTCATGAATACAATTATATGAAGCTGAAATTACGCCTGTCATTAAAGTTATTGAAAAATATTGATGTTAAGGGCTGTAAACCTCGGATCACGCTCATTTATTGTGAGGGCTGCAAGCATGTGGATTAGAATTCTGTTCCAATTTTTGCGACGAATAGATGAAAAACCATTGAACTCGAGTTTTTATTTTCAGCGATCTTTTCTTCAAGTTTTGTCCAGTTTTAATTTAATTCTGTTACCAATGAAAAAATTCATGATTCTCTCATCAAAACTTGGGATATAACAGTTACCGGAGTGTCACAAGCAGCATTTATCTCTTACTCAACTTTAGGCGCACGGGCGGAGGGAAGGCTACGCACTATTTCACCTACCAGAAATTCTTTCCTATATCTTAGTCTCAATACTTCAACATGCTGGTCAACTTTTCTGTGAGTGTCGTCCACTCGGCCACAAACAACGTGGGCTCGCGGCCTCCCCGGCCTTGGGTGCCTCAGTAATTATAGCGGCTGAATGGGCGCGCTGCTGCAGCTAATTCTGCTGTTGTTGCTGCTAAAGTTGTGCCGGTGCAGCAAATATTGTTCTCATAATATCCACTGGACCTATTATTTTTTAACTTGAATTTAAACAATTTAAATTTTTTGGTTAATGCATATATTGGTAAGCAGCTGCGATGTCCTACAAAATTTCTAATGAAATTCCTACCGATGAATGGAACTAAGTTTCTCATTTCTGCTCCAAGACATGCGCTTGATATGAGCTAGAGTCGACACTTCAAAATAACTCCAATAGATCCCGAGTAGTGTTATACACGGTATCTGAAGATGATTTTTTTGCTGGTACATTTCATGTCTACAATTGAATACTGAAAGTATTCTTATCTGTTTTTAAAGAAGCTTGCAAGCAGATGGAATGATTACGTGTAGCTTAACCTGATAGTTAACTCATACTGGATCAAATTTAGCCTTTTGAAGAGTTTTCGAGTTTCAGCATCTGCGTTCGCTCATTTTGATTAGAGGTGCCCATTAAATATGCTGATTCTGAGGTAAATCGTATTGATATGCGTGGTATGCAGATGAGTCTGCGTATTTATTTAGGCCATATTTTAATGGTTAGCCTTCAGTAAACAACATGTTAGCTCGCTTTTCATCGCTTACAGATCATTTTGTGTTCTGCGATTCCGCGCACTTGGCGTTAGAAATTTGTGAATTTGTTGATGCTTGACAATCGGATGTAGAGTTATTTGGATATTGCAGATGAGCGTCTCTGTAGTTTAACGCTCACCGAAACTTTGTTGTACATGCATTATGCATGTAAAGCATGGCTTGGTTTTTGTGTCGATGACTGGCTCTATATGGGGCAGGATCTCTGCTCCTGCCCTCGTTCAATAAACACTTATAAGCTCTGCTATTTCTTTTGTAAATTCGTGGATGGGTTTTAGCTATCGGTTCAACTATGATGGACATCACAGCACAACAATTCTGGTTTCCTTTCATTGTCTGCAGCGAGTGTTGCGTTTCTGCTGAATGGCCGACGCCTTGCATCAATCACTCAGTCATATCTTCTTGTCTATTAAATACACATTAGAGGCCCATTCAACTGTCGGATGTTTACCGTGGTAGAATTCTGTATAGCATTGAAAACATGATATGAGAGTGACTCGTTGTTGACTTGTGATATTGTTTATGTCGTTATCGTCTTAATCGAGTTTCTGGCTTAAGTTTGCTCCAAATATCCTAAGATCTGCGTGAACGTAGGCTACAAATAATTTTTGAATGACCACTTTGCTTGCAACATATGCACCTCATAAAGGTGCTTGTGCTATTATTTATATTATACACACTCGCTATTCACCTTACGGCCAATCGAGCGGTCGGCCAGAAGTCTGGCCTCTGGGCATTGTTGATATTTGTGTTGTTTCTAGACCCTCTTCATTTCTCGCCTTTAAAATTCCCTATTGAATTCGCGATCGTAGTTCATAATGTAGCCATTGAATGGTATTTTTAAAGTAATGTAATATCCCGGTGTCAAATATTGCCATGTCATGATTCTCGTGTTGCTGCAACTCACGGCTCCTCCGCTTCACTCTCGCCCCAAGCCTCCGACGCGATGAACGTGATCATGGGCCCGATACTCCCGTATCCGTGATACGGGCGCAGCGGTTTGTTGGATAACTCTCAACTGAAGACTTAATAGCAAATTCAACTGAAGACTTCATATCAAACTCAACTGAAGACTTCATATCAAACTCAACTGAAGACTTCATAGCAAACTCAACTGAAGACTCCATAACAAACTCAACTGAAGACTCCATAACAAACTCAACTGAAGACTCCATAGCAAACTCTACTGAAGACTCCATAATAAACTCAACTGAAGACTCCATAGCAAACTCAACTGAAGACTCCATACTAAAAATTATCCCAAACTTGAGTCCTTGTTATAGCAGCTCAAATAACGTTAGTTGCCAATATGCTTGATATAATGCACTAATGTTGTCATTGAAAATATTTTGGAAAATTTGATGGCGTTCTATCATTCCAATTTATTAGAGAGGTTTTACTGTATAAAATATATAGGCTATTAATGCTGAGGAGAATTTAAACTTAAGAGCAGTTTCAATTTTCTACCGCGTTTTCTGTATTCTATTCGTTGAGTTGCAGATAGAATATCGAGTTGAGTGGTACGTTTTGTTCACGATGCGTGGAGTATTTTGAGAAGCTGACCACTGACATGCTAATTGTAGTCAGGGAACGGTAAAAAGTTAAGAGATCGTAAGTTCATCAGCCAATCATTGACGATCTTTCAAGCCAAATCCACCAATCATAGACAAGAAAATAGAGCGTAAGTACTTACGTTCACTTAGCGAGTTTTTAAAGTATGGCCCCTGTACTACAACTTGCTGTTTCGGCAGATGTGATGAGCTGGTGCGCAGTAAGTTGCGTAATTTGTTCCATGGTGTGCCGTTGTTATCCAGCGCTTCTGCTGCATCGCCGTGCAGTGGGGCTGGCGGATGCGTGGCGCTTGGTCTAACGTGGCGCATAGGAAATACAGTTACTCATTAAGGATAAGAGGGAAAAATTGCCACTTTTTGCACCTTGAATATTTCTCGCTAAACTAACACGCATGACTGTATTTGCAGATTAAACACAACAGATGACTTGATTTTACACATTATCTGAGCCTGATGCAACTTGCATTGTACAGTATTAAATAATTTAACACGCTCTGTGTTCCATAGAAATATTTCCTTATGGCAGAAACTCCTCGACGTACGCTCATCTAAAGACGCCCCCGATTGTGTTCGGATGCCCCTTGGGTGGGCTTCCAAATGCCAGTCCCGAGGCCAAAAAACACCTCGCTCTCTGTTGTTTAGCAATGATTGTTGGTATAGCGCCAAGGGTGTTGCTGGATATCATCAAACTTAATAGGTGTGATCTTTATTGATGTCAAACGTACCTTCACGGCACACCACCTTCAAAAATCATTTAAATCATCGCTGGACGATGATTTAAATGATCAACGTCAATGATCAACGTCAGCCGTTCAGAGACCGAGATATGCCTCCCGAAGTCTCCAATTGATCTCTGGCATTGATGCGCCTTTATTTTACTGCGTGTCTAATCTGTTTGGTGGTCTGCACTGTCGGTTCTGGTGGAGATACTGCCATGTTCTATGATTTTTACGACTCAGGTCCAATTATACTATATGGCTCAATACCGTAATTCTTGGTGCTAATCGATTAATTCTAAGTGGTAGTCCATACTATGCTAAAGTTCGTACACTATTCTATAAACGCCCCATTCTTTTTCTGTACCGTTTAGCTGCCCTGTAAAGGGTAGCCTAGTGTAAAGTTCAATATTTAGTGGAAGAAAATCATCACTAACGGCCTGATTCCTTTTAAGACTTTGTTAATGACATAAAATAAAAAGTCCTCTGCGCGTAACTCTTCACAATTTCTAATAGTAGTCTCGCGCCCTTTATCCATCGTAGACTGTAATACAACCAATTTTATGTCTTACCATTAATATTTTTAACCTTGAGCCAGCGCTTATATGATCTTCTTAGTCATCGTTAGAAATCTTGTCAATTTTTTGCCCACTTTGGATATGCGAGGCTTATATTCACAGTAATTACAGTCGCTAAGAGATGTTTCTTTGCCACGTCCTCACGCTAATGACATTTGGATTCTACGCGGAATTAGATACGCGAAATTACCTCTTAACATTTTCCAAGTAGCCGTAGGTTAGTTTTAGTACTTCACAAGAGCTACAATAAATTTTGATGACCTTGGATGTTTAGGATATGCACTCGTAGTGGCTCCTTGTTTTTATGTCTAGGCCTGGAATTTATCGTGCATTTTTCCGCCATTAATTAGTACTCAGTTTATATATTCAAGCTATTGATAAGAATTTTGGCCGGATCTTCACATTTTTGTACTGATGAACTTCACTCCTTCATTATTAGCGGAGAAATTTCTGTAGTACATTTATAAATATTATTGTCTTCCCTCCAATTATTAATTTTCATTAGCTTGGACGATGAAACGTTTACTTCGTATCGGCATTCATCCATTATAGGCT